TTTCTGAGGCTCTAGAGGAGAACCCATTTATTTCCTTGCCCTTTTGAATTTCTAGAGGTCCCCTGCATTCCTTGGCTCATGGCCTCTTCCTTCATCTTCAACCTAGCAGTGTGGCATTTTTAAATCTTTCTCTGACCTCTTCTTCCATCACCACATCTCCTTTTCTGACTCTGACCCTCCTGCCTCCCTCTCGTAAGGGCCTTTGTGATTACATTGGACCCCTCTGGATAATGCAGGATTACCTTGCTGTCACAAGGTCCTCAATACAATCAAATCACAAAGTCTCTTTTGCCATGTTAGGCAATATATTCATAGGTTCTGGTAATTAAGATATGGACGTCTTTGGGGGCCATTATTCTGTCAACCACACCAGGTCATTCCTGTACATCCTTAGCACTTTCTGAATAATTTTTCCAGCCTTCATAACAGTTCAAATTACTTGTTCAGCTGACAGGTTTCCCACCTTGGTTGTGAGTCTGTTGAGGGCAGAGACCATCATCTCTCTTGTTCACCATTCTGCTTGCCGTTCTTAGGACAGTGCTTAGAGTAAGCACCCAATACATCTATATTGACTGACTGCTTGAGTGAATGAATGAATGAATGAATCAACCAATCAATGAGATATTCAATGGTGTGTGCACATGTTTCCCAAAGATAGTATTGTGGTTTGCCCTAAATATTTCTTATCTCCTTGTTTTCTTGAGAAGTTAGAGATATAAACCTGCTTCTGAATAATTAATTGATATCAACAGAAAATGCCTTCTTTCAAAAAATTATGAGTGACTCACAGACTGTCAAGAATCTTTTGAAGTATATGAAAAGCACTCCTAAATTATGCAACTATGAATACTTTTTAATTAAAGGAGCTAATGAATATTCCACAGGAAAGAGCTGGCTTCCACAATCTGGAGTTAATTGCCCACCCACACCTGATGGTTAATTTCTTTCTGAAATGCTGTTTTTTGTGGATAAAGCCCATCATTTACCACATCCCACATGGGTATAGATTAGGTGTCTCCTTTGCACATGCTCCAAGCTTACCTCACTTTACCTAAGGCAGGATATTAGCTGTGTGTTCGCTTTACTCTTTTTTGCCACGATGTGATTTTTATTGCACTGGTTAATTTACTTGGAAGCTTAGAACACAAGGTTTTAGCCATAAAATCAGTACAGTGGCAGAACTGAGAGGATACTGGGTAAAGGAAAACTTCGCTTATTTGGGGGAAAATCTCAGAAATGTCCACTGTATTTAAATTTTTATTTGAGTGGATTGGTAACTTTACTTAAGGATGTCTTTTTTATTTACAAAAGACATCATGAATTGCTTCTATTAAAATAGCTTAACTAAGTTATTATCCACAACTACAAGACACAATTCTTTTGTTTGCTTTATTTTATTTTGGATGATCTGAAAATAAGCACATATTTTGATTAAAGAAACAAGAAAGAGGAGACTTGGATATAAAAATGAAGAACAAAGCAAGCACACTCAGAGACGATGGAAGCGGAATTTTTGTATGACCTCTGATAAGACCCAAACATTAACAATCTATCACCACTTAAATGATGAACTAATTACCAGAAAATAGAGAGAATGGAAAGTATAATTTACAAGTGGAATAAATGTGATAGGTTAAAAAAGAAAAAGAAAATTGTTTAAAGAATTTTCTGTACCTTTTTACCACCAGTTTCCAGTTATTTAGATCCAGCGATCAATGTCTCTAAATAACATATACATAGATTGTTTTTTCCCTGTAATATTAAGTTCAGATTGACAAATAAGTTTCTTACGAACTAGTAGTGGCTCCCTGAAGCACTGAGTTGATAAAAATTTTAAGGTCTTCATTGGCCTCAGTGGAAAAAATTCCCATGATTGATTAGCTATGTCTGTCTGGCTAAGGAATGGGGGTGATAGAACTCATGCTGTGTAGTTTAGTTATAGATAATAACTTATGTAGCTTCTTTCAAGAAAAGCAGTGCATTGACATTTTCTAAATAAAACCATTGCTGATATTTGTCAGATTACAGTTTCTTTTTACCAAGCCTCTCTTGTAGATATTACCAGTGACAATCACGTCTTCTAATATATAAAGAATAGGCTTACAGATCTCAGAAAAATACATAATTTCATTAACTTTTAATTTTGGGGGGATTGAATATTAATATTAAATTTTTCTACATAAATTTTTGGACAAAGAATTTTAGATTGTAGCTTATTTTGAAATATGTATTATATTATAAAAGACTTGTATTTTGTAAGAACAGCTCTCTTAAAAGATATGGAAAAAAAGACTACTAATTTTGATATCTAATTGTGTCATCTCTGTGATTTTAAGATCTATTGCTAAGGATGTCAGTGTATAAAGTCATTTATTTAATCAAAGGCATTAGATTTTTTTTAAATTACCGATTGATTATTTTCTTTATATTTAACAAGAGTACTCACATTTAAGCAGTGATATGCTAGGAAATGTTTAACAAACAACTCTTGGAGTAGAGAATAAGGCGTGGGGTGGTGGAGAAGCACTGATTTGTAGCATTTCCCAACTTCCATTATGTAAATTTTTCTATGACTGATTCCAAGATGTCAAAAGAACTGCTAGAGCTGGCTCTGACCCACGACTGCCTTTAAAGAATCAAATAAATTTTGTTTTCTGAAACAGATATGTTCACAAGATTCTGCATAGGAACCCTTCAAATATTGAACTCCATGGTACGCTGCAAGCATGATTAATCTTACTAAAACTTTTTACATTTAATTTTGTAAGAAAATGCCTAATCAATTATACATATATTTTATATCATATGAATTATTGAACTTTTCTGAGAAAGCTTATCTGATATTTAATTGTTAGAGATTTTTATACTCTGAAAATTCAATAAAACCTTTCCAAATTGGATAAAAATGTACTTGTGAATTATAAAAAACATGTAAGGAAATATATGTCACAGATTAAATAGTGAGCCAAACGTCTTAGCAACTCTTTTAATATTGATCTAGTAATTCTGTCACTGTAACTCTAAACAAAGTGGAACAAAAGTATCTATAAACTAATTAATGTAGCGCCAACCTGTGTGTGTGTGTGTGTGTGTGTGTGTGTGTGTATTTATGAGACTAGGAGATGGAACAAATACCGCTTCAACATTCCACTGTTTATCTTTGCTTGGAATATGAATTTTTTCTTTTTCCTGTGATCTTAATCCTCTCCCATCTCTGATAATGAGCAGGGGCACATTATATCCAAGGGTATATATAACAGCCTTTGCGTAATAAAGATAGGTCCTATGTTTAATTAGGCAAATAGTGAATGATAATGAATACTACTGAGTGGTCAGTGGATGAGCCACATTGTGGTGACTTTCCATTTTGTATGAGGTTCTAATTTACCATTTTAGGCCAATGAAAACATAGTCTAAATCTGTTCTTACTGCTTAGCCCTCCTTCCTATGGGAGAAACAGGGAAATAGAAGGCACTACTGGAGTGCCTGGCATGCAGTAGACTCTCAATAAATGTTGCTTGAATGGAAGCAGAAGAAGTTTGAGATCTCAAACTATCATTAGCGTTCAATTAAAGCCATCCTTATGATTGGAATGCCTGCATCTCCATATCATTTCTACTTTTTGGAATTATGTATATCCTTCAAGACTTTTGCATGAAATCTTCCCTGATCACTCCAAAGAGACTTCTCCTTTGTGTATTTAAATTCCCATCCTTTTTCATTTTTAACATCCATTATTTATGTACCAATCCTATCCGTGGCACTCAAGGATAAGCTCCTAGAAGAAAGGAATAGGATCTTACATTTGTATCATTCACTACATTTCAAAAATTTCTTGAACAAAATACATGCTCTATATTTATTAATTCAATTAGTAAATATGAATATAGATGTAAAAGTGAAACTTGGAAACAGATCCTATACCTGAATACCACTTTTCAAATACACTGAAGATTACTTTGTAGCATTTTCTCCTTTTCCTAACAGTTACTGCTATATATAAATGTTCAGTGTATATTCTCTATTTTCTGCCTGGTTTTATCTCTAAGCAGCAGTTTTTAAAAATGACATAATTTCCCCCGACTTCCCTTCAATGCTAATTGAGAAACAACCATATTCCCACTTTTCTGTAGTCATTCTATGGCAAAACCACGGGCATTTTAATGGCAAATCTATTCCAATGAAGAATTTATTTTTTCAGAGAATTTCATAATAATTAATGAATTGGGGTTTATTTTATATACTTTGCCTAGTGATGGTGGGGGAATCTTAGCCTACATGGTCTGTTTTGAGGGCCACATCACTCCTTAGAGTGACATTGGATATGGCCTGTCACTGTTTAGAAATGTGTCATTTCACACAAGGAAAGTGTAGCCCTGGGGACTTCAGTGAAAAAGAAGTCATGAACTCCTAAGTAGAAAAAAAATAAAAATTTTTCCCATCAAATGCATTCAGAGGCAGACTTACCATGAATTAAATGAAGCTTGATTTTTAGGGCCCCTCACATAGATCCCTTCCAAGGCCAAGGGACAAGCTCCAGCAGTGAATCTTTTCCTTAAAGTGTGACTCCAAAACTGTATAAGCTTCAGGCACCATACAACAGGGCACACCCATGAAGGAAACTGGCATCATGGGAAGAATACCATTCAGAATGTCTAGATGCCTTGATTCTAGTCTGTGTTTGGCACTAACTTGCCAGGTATCCCTTCAAAATCATCTGAACTTGCTTCAGTTCATCTGTCTGTGAAATGATACTGTTAATTAACATATCCCATCTTCCTCTTTGAATTATGAATAATTATCTGAAATAACATTTGAATAATCAAAAATCAAAGAGTTCAGAAATAATTAGCAATTAACTGAAAAGTATAAAAATTAAAAAGTGTCTGAAATTAGTCTTGCTAAACACGAGGCCACTGTTACCTTCCCACCATTCAACAAAATCAGCAGCAGAAATCTCTAAGAATTCTCCCTAACTCAAATCTATGTTCCTTCTACAGAAGAAGCTTCACAGCCCTGCCAGAATGAGAAGTGTTCTTTAATCCTGGATTGCAGTGGGTTGACCTTTTTTGACTATTCTGGAGTCTCCATGCTTGTTGAGGTATTTAACACAGCTTGTGTCTGGATTGATTCTTTCCCTTCTCTTCAGTAACAGGGTTTTTTCACCACCTACTCTCTCAGCTCCAGGGTCTTGACCCTGCTTGTTTCAAGACCCGTCTCACTCATTCTCGCCAAAGGACACAGAACTTTATGCCTCCCATCACTGTAGATTTCTTTTCAGGAGCCCTCATCAAGCTTCTGTGTGTGTGTAGATGTATGGAGGCCAGGAGTGTGGGTATTGACATAGGGTTGGAGAGAGAACAGAATATAGACTCGAGATGTGGTAGGCATAGCACATGATGGGCAGTCAGCTTACAGACTTCTAGAAAGGAGAAGAGTCTCCTGCATGAGCAAGTGGCCTTGGTGATGGTTCTTTTTCACATCCTGGCTGGGTACAGTTTGACTTGATACCATCCCTGTCTAAAATAGTGCCAGGAGCAGGAGCTTTTCCCCATTCTCTGGAATGATAGTGCTTATTTCTCCACCCCATGATCTTCCTGGAGTCTAGATCTTGGGGTGTAAGAAATAAAACAGAGTTTTATTTCTTTAAGACTGATATAGCTCACAAGCCTCCATTTCCATAGATGGAAGAACCCCTAATTTTGCCTATTCGAGGAAAATTCAGACACTTCTGGAAATTTTTTCTTTTTTTTTGAGTAAATACTGAGTCAACAAGGAATGTACTCCCTTTCTTATTTCCGTGTGCTCTCTCCCTCAATACCCTAAATATGGAGGGAGGGTCTTGAGGCCTGGACAATGCCTGTTCTTTAATTCTCCCCAGTCCTCCAGCAGCTGCTGGGTGTGGCTCTCAGGTTACCTTGCCTTTGGGTGTTTGCTCCCAGGTATTCTCTTGCCCTGGCCTCAGACAGTCTCCCTCTATGTGGCTTTGTCTTCAGCCAAAGACTTAATCAAAACCTAGGAAAATTTCTGGAGCTCTTTCTCTGCATGTTTCCCTCCTTTCTATTACTCTCTTGCACAATTTCACCCACCCAATCCTTCCTGAAGTAAAGTTCTGTCTGCTCAGCTCAGTGAAGCTGCTGCACTTTGCTTGGGCCCTCCCTCATCATGCCACCGCCCAGAAACTGCTTTGCAGCAGAAAGCTGAGATGGTTGGAGAGCTCACCTCATTTGTTCTCTTTCTCTCAGGGAACTCAGTCCTGTGCTGCCTGTTACCATTGTCTGAAAACAGTTGTTTGTATGTTTTTATCTGGTTGTAAGTTCCTACTTATTTATGGAGGATGGGATAGTTTTATATTAGTTACTCATCGTGGCCAGAAGTCAAAATCAGACTTTGACTTTTAAAAAGTTAAGACCAGTAGTCTTAAATGGTCTCACATTGTGGATTTTGATTGTTTTCTTGTGGTGTTGCGTAACTGTGTCTCTATTCATTTACACTTTAAATTTGAAATGTCCAACCTTTCAAGGTCAAGGGAGTACAAAGGTCAGCCTTAGAATGACTTTCCTATGGAGATAAGGGTAGAATGTGTGGAGGGGATGCTGCTCAGTGTGTGACTACTGCCTGAGAGAAGAGACTCAGCGACACTAGCTGTGAGGTGTTGGGAAATCATCTGACCAGGCGGGCTCTCAATTTATTCATGTTGTAAAAATGAGGAGGTGATTTTGTTTCAGAATTAGGAGATATTCAGAAAACAAATTGTGCAAAACAAATGAATCTTAAATATCCTAGGCCTTAAATCTAGTGGCTGCTTTTGGTAAGTCCTCCTTTTCCCCATGTAAGACCCTTTTATTTTCTTGTTGTTCGCTATAAAATCTGCACAATTTGGCACAGGGTTCAACCTGAATACTCTTTTTTTGCATCTAAATCTAGACAGTTAACAGATAGTTCCTGTTCATTGGAGGGCTTATGTTTGGCATTTCTGTTTACTCTGTGTTGCCAAGGTCTGCAGGAGTGCTCTTAAACGTGGGGCATAAGGATCATCTGGAGTGCTCATTTAAAATGCAGACTGCCAGGTCCTGGTTCTGGCCCAGGAATCTTCCTCTGAAGCAACCGTAGGAGATTCTGAAGCATGTGGTCCAAGGATCATATTTTGAGAAACGCTAGACTAGGATTGTCCTTTTACTGGGAAAAGGCAGTATGTATATTTTTTGTTTAATAGTATTTTAAATTTGTTTATGAATATGCTCTAATATTTATTAGCCTCTGTCTCTAGATATTGCAGATGAGGACTCAGAGTTAGCAAAGAGGAGAAAACAGTTACAATTTCCTACTGAGTTTAGGATCTAAGGTTGAAAATTCAGAGGAATCCAAATAATCCAGGTACTGGGCATGTTGAGAAAGAGCTTTTTTTCATTCATCTTAATGGTTTTAAAATACTACACAATACAATGATGAAGTAAATCAACAGATGCATTTTATTTTTAAGTTGGCAGAAAATGACATTTGCCCTTGGCTTGGTATTTTCCATTTGTATATACAAAACTAGCAATTTTGCGTCAGTTTTCCTTTTAAACATCCTTATTGCTATTTGGTTTATTTCATCACAGTTACAGTAAATTATGATGTATGTTAAGGATGTAGGCTTTAAAGATAGGTAAACCCTGGGTCCAAATATTAGCCATCAAACTAGTTCTATGATCTAGGCTTAAGTATTTGTTTGCTTTTTCTGTAAACTGGAAGTAGAAATATCCACTTCATCAAGTTGTTATGAAGCTTAAAATGACATGTTGCATATAAAGCACAAAGTGTCCAGAAGTTAGTGAGTACTCAATAATGTTAGCTTCTATTATGTGTTGTCACTTTGCAAAAGTCATTTCTTAAAATGCAAAGAATGTCATTGCAACTGGTACTGTTTCTTAGTTCCAGCCACCCTGAAAGAGGGTCCACAGTGAAGAGCCACAGAGTCTCTGCAGCCTTGCGTGTCTTCCTGCTTCTCATGACCCTCTCTGGATGATTTTCTTAGTCACTTTAGTGTAAGGAACATTCTCCTAGAGTTATAGTTTGAAGGAAATGGAGTGACTTCTGTTTATTCCTCTACTTAGGACACTGGAGAGGTCAGTGAACTGGAGATTAGGTTTATCAGCACCAAGAAACTACCTGTAGCAATGTGTTTGTGCTTCACTGAGCTTAAGAAAAAGTCAAACACCGACGGGTCACCCTGAATTAATCATTCTAAATTACAAGGAAAGGAGCCATTTGTTCAATGGCATAGTCTCAGTCCATGTGTTATTATTTGTTTGTTGAGTTGCTTGTTTATTTATGCTCAGAGTGATACATGGCCTGTTATTCCACAATTCTTCTAACATGGAGAGAACTGTTTGCTGCTGGAAGAATATAAGGGAAATCTTTGGATGTATCATGCACACTCTTCGAATGTGTTATAAATGCTGCTTTCTACATTATACATGTAAGATACATCACTATTATATAACCAAATCCATCCTACTGTTACTAAAACTTTTAGATTTACTTTCACTGAGTTTCACGGGCTGATTTTGATCTGGGTGAATTCAAGATCAAGCCCTTCAGTAAGCTGTTCTTCCTTGAGCTTTCCTAGGACTTAAATGAGGCACGAACCTAAAGTGTGCCAAGCAAATTAGTTAGCACCTCTCATCTTGATGGGCCTTTAAAAATGGAAGTTGGGCAATCAAACTTTGCTTTGATTATAGTGAGCTTCTCAACTTACCATCCATGGATGGGATTTAGAGAAGATGCACATGAAGATGCACAAATTGTTGTAAAATATTAAAGTAAGCAGTAGGTCAGCAGTTTTCATCATTTTGAGAAATAAGTCTTTGACTTCCAATACCATAAGTCTGACAACAATTTTCTATTATTCTTGTAGGGAAGAAAAGGAGATGTTTTTATTTTTATTAAATGAAGTAGAAAATGTAAGCAGCCAAACTTAGTTACACAGAAGGCAAACCCCCTGCTGCATCCATCTTGGTGTGCTGAGTCTCTTTGAGAAGCCTGCCAGAGTGTACCCAATTGTGTAACAATGCCTCCCTCTGGTGGTCTGACCAATCATAAACATTGGCTTTTTTTTTAACTAGAAATTCTCCTTCATTCTGAAGCCTACCTCATTCCTTCCTGCCAGCTATCCTCAATTAATTGTGGGTATGCTATTTTAATTCTTCCAGGTTTACATGGACTGTAAGAACCAGAGTGTGGATGTATCTTTGGCCCATTGCACAGGTAAGGACGGGAGTGCTTTTGGCTAACCTTAAACGTGATCCTTCTGCTGCCCCATGTGTCCCTATATCACTTGTGCTTTCTTGTAGCTTCCTTGATAAAAGCAATGAAGTACCATGGAAACCTAGACTCAGAGAAACCAATTTTTTTTGAATCCGTATCTGCTGCAATAAGTAACATCCATTCAAATAAGGTGAGTTGAACAAATGGGCATGCAGGAGTTATAAGAAAAATTGGAATGTAGAATTGGGGCTTTGCATTTCTCATTGCCTATTACCCTAGTGGCATCTAAAATCTGTTAAAATGTCCCCCCCCCCCCGAATCCTCTGCCACAAGTAAAGGAATGTTTTCATTCCTTTTTTGGACCAGTTAATGAACACTGTTTAATAATTTGGATTTTCCAAAAATATTGCTCCTTAGGTGATTTCGTGATCACCTATTAAGTGCAAACCTCCTGCTTATAAAATAAATGCTTCTTCCAGGATCTGCTAGCCCTTCAGTTACTACTCTTCTTTGACTATGGTACTGGCTTAAGAGTGGAGCCAGTAGGATGTGCTTATTTCTTTCTCTTCTATTTCAGAATTTGAGCAAACTCAGTGACCACAGTGAAGTCTGAGATGCTTTTGTGGCAGCACAGCTCTTATCTCAAGCAACTGCCGTGAAGAGGCCACACACTAGCATTTTGCACACCCTTATTTGCTGTTTAGATTCTACAGATGACCTCCACCACAAGTATGATGCGACTTCGTAACCACATATCTGCTGGTCAAGATTTGCCAACAATTTTTTCTAATTTTTGTTAGTAAGCAGATTCACTTAGCAGATTATTATATAGTTATTTTATAAAAATCAGTGCACATTTAGTTTTAGTGTAGTGAAAGGTAAAGATGAATTTATTTCCTTTTACCATAGTATTTTGTGTTGTTTTATTTCTGTTTTGTTGTAAGTTAATTTATAAAACTGAGAAACCCTTTGTCATAAGAGATTTGGAACATTTGCAAGCCATTTGTAAAAATCCAAGATCATCTGTAATTATACGTAAAAACAACTTAGCAAATGTGGGATTTTCTCCTACCAAAGAAAGGCGTTAAACATCAATAAAGTAGTGTTACTTTATACAATATGATATGAGATTCACAGAAGTCAAACAAAAACAAATGACAAACTAGAAACCATTGTTCTGCACACCTTTCCATGCATGAGAATCTTCAAGAATGTTTTCACGATAACTGGTATCCCAATGAAGCCAAGTTCTTGACATTAGTCTGTTTTGCTGTGAATATTGGAAATGCTTAGGATCGTAAGACCTGATAGCCCTAATTTCCACATTCCATGTAAAAGTCTCTGTTTTCAGCTTAAGGTTTGCTGGAGCCAGAGAATGTAGATGTTGCACATTTTCTATTTTTTCACAAATAAGATTTTTAGTTTGTTATGGTGAGGAAAATCGGCCCTGAGCTAACATCTGGTGTTGATCCTCCCCTTTTTCCTTGAGGAAGATTGTCCCTGAGCTACATCCATGCCTATCTTCCTCTATTTTGTATGTGGGACACCTCCACAATATGGCTTGATGAGTGATGTGTAGGTACACACCTGGGATCTGAACTGGTGAGCCCCAGGCCACTGAAGCAGAGCATGCAATCTTAACCACTATGCCACTGGGCTGGCCCCATACAAGTATGATTTTTAAATGAGAAAATACCACCAGTAGAATAGCCTTGTGCTATTTCAATATAGGATTAAATATAATAGTTTGGGACTTTTGTATTTCAGAGAGACAGTCAATATAATACTACATTTATCTCTATCCGTATTAGATAGATAGCTGGATCTCCATAGTATGTTTTTCTTTTTCTTTTGTTAGAAGAGAACTTGGATATGTGATTATCTGTAAACCCACCAAACCAACACAGTAATTGACAAATAAACACCACAGGTCAGGCTGACCTATATAAGCTATTGTTTTCATGCTTGTTCATATTTTTTCAATCACGTACAATTACACAGTTTCATATTTTTATCTAGCAATTTGATTTACTTATGAAGAAATCTCAGTTTCAAAGATAGGTGTAGATATATAATTATGCTTAAGTTTTAAGACGTTTTAACTGTTGTAGAAATTATCAGTATAACAAAAAGCCAAGTACTTTAAAGTGAATTTGAGAAGTAGGTTGAAAAAAAATTAAAAGACTGATAATTTAGGAGTTTCCATGAACATCTGTAAGATTAAATTCTAATGCCTACCAGCAATGTAACAGTCCCTAGCAAATGTATGGTAAACATTCATATGGCTCTTAATTTAAACATTAAGTCCTAGGTAGGACAATGTAATAAAATGAAAGCAGAATAATAAATGTTTCGAATTCTCGTAACTTATTCCGCCGTTTCAATTTCATTTGACATGAACTACAAAGAATAGTCTTTGTCCCACAGGAAGCCTCAATCCATTCATCACTAATTGAGATTGAAATGGTGAGGCCAACTTTCATTGCCATCAAATACTGTTCCCAGAAAAGGTGGAGGTAATCATTGAAAGTAAAATTTCCTCAGAGAAAGTAATTTCACTCTGCTTTATCTAATTAAATTATTCCCAAGGTGGATAGTGGTAACATTCATCATCTCTAACCCATTGGTCATTGACACTTAAACATGAGTTCAGCAAAGTTAAAAAAAGAAAATTTATTTTCCTGTGTATAAATTGATATTTTTCCATGCAATGTTGACCTACAATTAAATTCATGTACTGCAGGCATTTTCTAATTTGTTAGAGATTATGGACCATGGACAGCATTAAAATCAGTGTAGTTAATCTATGGATGGTTTGTTCTATTTTATTGTTAAAGCTGACACAGTATTGTCTGAGCAGATGTATTTGGTGCATTTCAGTGTTTATAGTAAAAGTTTAATGGATAAAACTTAAAAGCCAATAACTTTGGTGTCAAATGTTAATATTATTTTCAAAGTAAAGGAAGACCAAAACATGCACCATATATAACCTTTTATTTTAAAGCTTATCCTGCATATCAAGGTCATAATGACTGTTGACCTGGAGGAACTCCCTAGGGGAATTGAGTTCTGAGGGCCCAATAGTTTAATATGAGTTTTAGACACACCAGATTCTAAAATATAAGTGTTTATTTCAAAGTAGGCATTAACAACACAAGAACTATATGATCCTGATGCTAGAATGTTTTTAGTCATGCTGAATTATTTTTGTGAGATCGTTTTCTTTTTATATGTGATAAACTACTTCCGTATTACTTATGGCAAAATAAAATTGGAAAAAATTAAAATTGACCTATAAGAGAGTTAAGGACCTGATAGAGTAACATATATAAATTAACCATAAAATATATAACCAGGAAAAGACTGTTAACATTACATTTATGCAAATTAAATGCCCTTAAATTTTACCATTTGTCTTTCATTTTAAAGGTTATTTGCCCCTGATTATGTGATTCAAGTGTTATAAGGTATAACTTGAGCTACTTTGCAGTAATTTATTTGACAGATCTCTATACTACAAATGTGTAATGTAATGAGGAAAGAGATCTTTCTTTTTTAATGAAAATATTAATGTGTTAATATCCCTTATGGATAATGTTTGACATTTAGTGATTACCAAAATATAAGTATGTTGTTGAACATACATATGCCTTAGAAATTCACATTCTGTTTTTTGTGGGATGATGACCTAATAGAGAATACGCTTTTTGGCAATGACTTTGTTTCCAGATTGTAATAGGGAGTTAAGTGGTGCTTTCACAATCCAAAGATTTTTAGTTAAAAATCATGTAGTCTAATATGCTGTTCTTATTTTTTTATATTTTTCAATGCATTTAATTATCTTTTTAATAATTCTTTATACTAACTCAGCATGTAAAAACCAATTTACATAGAAATAAATTGAAATATAACTATTATGCTTAAATGGATTTGTGTCTATTGTTTCAAACTATTTACTCTCCTGCAAAGCAAATAATACATATTGCTTTCTTAGACTGCCCACAGAGTATTATGTGTTTAAAATTCGTGGAAGTATCCATTATTCTTGGCAATTTGTTCTTACAAAATTTAGACCTAGGATTGTGAGGTATTCTGCCTTAGTTTATGGAAAGCTGATAAGGGCACGTTTTGCTGCAAGACTACATTTACACAATCTTTTTTCACAAGGTTTATCTCCTTTTTGTTCTAATTTTAATTAATGTGTTAATGTGTTAATGAAATTAATTTTAATTTTTTATTTGTTTGGGTTCTTCATTTGTATGCTGTTGTTTGTTTTTCCTGAGTTTCTAGGCTGAGTGCAGTATTCTTCAGCATTTTAAAGGTTACTCCTCCAAGGACAAGAAGATAAGATGCTCTTTTAGGTGTTGGAAATACAGCAGTGAATCAAACAGAAAAACAATCTCTGCCCTCATGGAGCTGACATTCTAACAAGGGAAAACAGAAAATAAACGGGATATATTTCAAATAAATTTATTATGAATTAAATGATAATATGTTCTAAGAATAAGAATAAAGAAATAAAAGAATAAATCAAGGAAAGAGGTTAGGAAATATGGCAGAAAGTGAAGATGACGTCCCTGGACAGGGTGGCCAGAAGAGTGACTGATGGGAATGTCGTAGTCAGCTCATGCTACTGTAACAAAATACCACACACTAGGGGCTTACACAATAGACATTTCTTTCTCAAAGTTGCGTGGGCTGAGAAGTCAAAGATCAAGGTGCCAGCTGACGCAGTTTCTGGTGAGGGCTCTCTTCCAGGCTTGTAGATGGCTAACTTCTTGCTGTGTTGTCACCTCATAGAGAGAGCATGCTCTCTGGTGTCTCTTCTATAAGTACACTAATCCTATCAGCTTGAGACCTCACCCTTATGACCTTATTTAACCTTAACTACCTCCCTATATGCTCTATCCCCAAATACAGTCACGTTGTGGGTTATGGCTTCAACATAAGAATTTTGGGGGGACAAAATTTGGTCCATAGCAGGAAGTTATAAATTTTCTATGCACTTAAAAAATTTGCTTTTCATGTCTGAAAAACAGGCTTACTAGAATTTCATTTATGTTTAGCATAATGTGATTTTTTTTTGGCATCCAGAACATGATGCCGTCATGAACTGCCTGGTTAAAGCATTCTGATGCTAGAGACAGTGGGTTAGCATAGACATTACTAGCCGTAACTGGCTACCCAGATGAGATTCTGGCCATGAAACAGAGTGAAGTGGTCAGGCATGTGTTTGCAATATACCAATGGCTATTCAGAAACTTAGACATATTATATTCTGATGATAGTTCCTAATGATTAGTCATCTGGTTAAAGAAAATAGAATTGGTTAGTTTTATTTTAGCTATCATGTTGTCTTAAGGAAATCAACAATGGAGACATACTTAATTCTATCAATTGTCAGGGAGATAGGTGCAGAACCAAGTCCTGGGGCTGACTGCAGGGAGAACTTTCCACTTTGTTTTTTGTTATGTTTTTGTTTTTGTTTTTTAAGGAGGGAAGAATACTAGGATATACAAATTAGCTAAACGCTCTGAAATGATCTCTTTCAGAGTATTCGTTATGTCGAAATCGTCACTCATTTACTGTTGATTCAGCAACAGGAAGGTCATTTTGGTCAAACTTAACTCCTTTTTGTCCTAAATCATAAAGACCAAGCTCTCTAGTAAGTGTAGGAAGCTTTTTAGTATTTTTTCCTATTTGGAGCCTCTAGTTTTTATGGTCACATTTAGAAACTGGCTAATTAATAAGTCCATTAAGAATCTACATTAACAAGAATAAT